AGTAAAAACTTATTTTGCTGTTTTATATTTTAATTCACTAAACAAAGTATAATAAACTAGATATTTACGGCTGTATTTACACATAAAAACTTATTTTAGGTTTATTAAACAATTTTAGGCAAAATTCAGGAAAATCGTATTTATAAACGTGAAATAGCTTAAAACACCTTCAATAAACCATTGACAATTAGAAGAATTTTATTGTAGGCTCGACCCTTCTTTAAGCCAACAATAAGTTGTTTTTTTAAAAATTTTTTTCTCAGATAAAGATTTTTCCGGTAATTTTAGGTTGATTGCGAAAACTAATTTTTAAAATAACTTTTAAAATAAAATCTAAAAATTCTAATTTTAACGTTTACAAATTTGTAAATAAAATCCCAGAAAATATTTAAACGATTATATTTTGAGGAAAAAACTCAAATCTAGGCATTATTGGATTAATGCATAAATATTTGACAATATTCCAATTGTCCAGCACTATTTTTAGGCAATTTGGAAATGCCCGTCTGTCAACCAAATGATGAACAAAATCATTTGATTTGGCTTTTTCAAAGTTTGTTGGTTAAATATAATGCCATAAAGTAATTAACCATGTAAATTATATTGATTAGTGTTATACTAATGCAAAATATATTCGCCGGCATTAAAATTAGTCAAATATCAAAGAAATTTATCAATATTTGCAAAAATTTATCAAAAATTACAAGAAAAATAAGTAAAAATAAGAAAATGTGTGATAGTGATGTATATTTTGTCGCAAAATATCCGTTATTCGGATACTTTTAATAATAATTAGAAATTATATGTTATATTTATACATCTGAACTAAATAGATATTTATTAAAGCCATATATATATTTATTTTTCTTAAAAGTTTGTTTTTATTGTCAAAAATCTATTATAAACAAAAATATGAAATTAAGAAAACCGAATCAACGAATATTTTATCGTAATTGTACGCAACACTAACACATAAAATGACAGCCATATCGTACAGTGCTGCCAACTTAAACATAAATCAGCACAATAGTTAATATACGTTTATTATTTGTTTATGAATATCACAATTTTATTAATGGTTTTTAAGGCTAAAGTGTGCTTTAACTATTGAGTGCATTAAAAGCAAAATAAGATTTTTTTATAAATACAAGCGTTATTGTTTATTTCACATAACTAAACAAAAAAAAAAATAAAACAAATTATTAATGATTTTTTCTATATTTTAACAAAATTTTGTACTACATCACAAGCATTACATATATTTGGCGAATGTGCCCCACGGGTAGTTCTGGGGTTTAGTTTAAATTTTTTTCGGGTTTCAAATTATATTATCGAAAATATTATTATGTCTTATTATTCACTATTATTGACGTTCTATCACTGACCAATATATTTTCTCGATCACAAAAACTAAAAAAGTTAGCACAAAAAATTCATACAGTGAAATATTTTCACAGCCCTTTGAAAAACAATTAATCACGTCTGCCTCCCATCATATGTAAAGTTAATCTTTCAAACTTTCAGGGATGATAGATAATCGATAAACAAAAATAAAATTTGATAATGCGATCAAATCGATTACTCGGTTTTCAAGTTATTCGCTTTGGCAGATGTGCCCCTATGGCGAATGGTCCCCCTTCTACCCTATATAATTTTGTTCTACACAAATTGATAATGCAAATAGTTAAATACGGTTAAAGCGCTTTTGAGGGGCAGGACCTAGCATGGGAGATATGACCAAATATAGACCGATCGTAAAAAATTCTTTAAGCAACAAAAGATATATGTCAGTAAAATTTTGTATCTATATCGTATTTTAGTAATAACTAATGTGTGTTTTAGTGATTTTCTGAAGGGAACCTTGTATAGGACCGACCGCACCCATGTTCTGAACCTATCGTGAACAAATCTTGATATATAATGTTTGTATACAAAACTATTATTTGTGCCAAATTTTGTATCAATAGCTTTATTCGGTAATGAGTAATGTGCGTTTAAGAGATTTTCGTAAAAGGACCTTGTATGGGAGCTACGACCAATTATGTATATAAAGACAATATTTCAAAATTCTGTATCTATATCATTATTTGGTAATGAATATTGTGCATTTAAATGATTTTCTGGAGGGGACCTAGTATGAGAGCTATGACCAAATATGGACCGATCGTAGAACAATTTTATAGTGTAATTTATATATATAAGAGCAATATTTTTGCTAAATGTATGGATATCAAGATTTGGTAATAAGTTATATGCGTTTAAGTGATTTTCGGGAGGGAACATTGTATGGGAGCTATGACCAAGGATGGAGCGATCGTGAAAAAAATTTTGAAATAACATTTATGTGTACAAAAATAGTATTTATGTACAAAACTAGTATTTATTTATATCATTATTTGGTAATGAGTTATGTGCCTTTAAGTGTTTTTCTGAAAGGGACCTTGTATAGCAGCTATGATCAATTATGCACCGATAGGAAAACAATTTCATAGTAATATTTCTCTGTATATGAGCAATACTTCTGCCAAACTTTATATGGATATATTAGTTTAGTAATGAGTTATGTGCGTTTAAGTGATTTTCGGGATGTTTCAGTAATATTCCTGTGCATATAAGCAATACTTGTACCAAAGTTTATATGGATACCTTAATTAAGTAATGAGTTATGCGCGTTTAACTGATTTTCGGGAGGGGACCTTATATGGGAGCTATGACCAGTTATGGACCGATCGGAAAAACATTTCTGAGTAATATTTCTGTGCATATAAGCAATACTTGTGCCAAAGTTTATATGGATATCTTAATTAAGTAAAGAGTTATGCCCGTTTAAGTGAGGGTACCTTGTATGGGAGCTATGACCAATTATGGACCGATCCAAAAAAACTTTCACAGTAATATTTCGGTATACGTGAGCAATACTTGTACCAAATTTTGTATGGATATCTTAATTTAGTAATGAGTTATGTGCGTTTAAGTGATTTTCGGGAGGGGACCTTATATGGGAGCTATGACCAATTATGGACCGATCGGACAAAAATTTCACAGTAATATTTCTGGTTAATAATATTATGAGTAATACTTATACCATATTATAATTTAGTAATGAGATAGCTTGGGAAGTTTTAGATGCAGCGTACGGACAGGGAAGAGTTATTAAAAGGAAAAATGATTTACATAAACAATAGAGCTTATGCACATTACAGATGGAGTTAATATGTTAAAATATTCTTTAATAAAGCTGTGAAAGGACAGAACATGACCCCTATTCTGAATAATAAACTCCCGGAGAGTCTGTTCCCTCTCCTACACATAAGGCATGAAAAAGATAATAAACTCCCTGGCAAATGTTGTTCATAAATGGCCTGCATATGTATTATATCTTTTTATTATAATTATACCCAAGTTAGTTGATTTGACTACTATCCTTTAAAAACTGATTCTAAAAAACCGGGATTCCATCTAATAACTCAAGTTGTTGGAAAAGAAAAAAAGTTGGTGTCGGGTAAACGCAACAAATATAAATTATACGGCTCATTTTTTTTTTTTTTTTGACATAAGAATCGAATTTCAGTTTACTTTTCCTTATGCTTTACTTTTGTAAAGTGTGCTCACGTAAATTGAGCTTAATTAGTTATTTTGCAAAAATCAACTGCGGATAGTATCGTCATATGAAATCCAAAATGCCCTAAGTTACAAAAACAAAATCTACTTTTTGATTGATTATGATGCACCGTATTAAAATACATGTTCCTGCTAAATTGTACACCCCTACAATTAAAATCAACATCCCTATCAAATAAATTATAAAAGGTTATGTTCTAAAATTACCCTAAAATTCATGAAAATTTTAAAATTCTTTTGAATTTTTAACTTCGAAACTGTGAAATGTTATAAGTTGTCATCAAATAAAACAGAAATGGCACTTTTAGCGAATCTTTTAGATTATTTTAACAGTTTTAGAAATTTTTCAAAGAAAAATTTCCGAAAATCTTTATAAAAACAAAGAAGCCTTATGCTTTCCATGTTTCGGCCCATTTGACCAACAAAAACCGATTTGAATTTAGTTGAAAATGCTAAAACTTACTATTTTTTAATGTAACTTTCTGTGCATATGACTAATTTGCGGGACGGGACCTTGTATGGGAGCTATGTCCAATTATGGACCGATCCAGAAAATTTTTTCTCTGGATGAATTCTTTTGACATAAGATTTTAATTTGTAAAATTTTGTGAAGATATCAACATTTTGACGGAAGTTATTAACAAAAAACTCATTTTCCGGGAATATGTACTTTTGTATGGGAGGTATATGAAATTGTGAAATTTTCAGCAGGGATAAAGCTCTTGTGAAGAAACGAATGTGTGGTGATTTTCATGGAATTACCTTGCATAGTTTTCGAGAAAATTACATCAGAATGTGTAAAAAATGCTTATTTTTTTCGAGGTTGTTTTAAATTTTGATTCATAACTTTTCCCGATGTGAACCGATTTTGTCCATTTTCAATACCAAACAACTTAGGAAAATGAAGAACAGACAGACGGACATAGCTAAATAGACTCAGAATTTGATAAGGACCCAGAATATATATACTTTGCTGGGTCTCAGATGAATATTTCTTGGTGTTACACACGGAATGACAAAGTTATATATACCCTCTATCACCACTGATGGTGGTGGAGGGTATAAAAAGAATGCATATGGTTAATACATGAAACTTCAAAGAACCGTAACGCGGTACAGTTATGCGACACCACACATTAAACCAATGGGTCTTTCTCCACCCAGAGCTGAATTACGAATGTAATTTGTTTTTGTTTCATTTGTTTACGTTTTTACTGAAACTCACCACACAACAATCAAAAACAGCTGTTAGGGTTTGCTGTTTTATCAAAATGTTGTTTTATTAAAGGGTATCAAAATCCCACTTTTTTATCTCTCGGATCCCGTTTTTATTTAAAATCTTTGGAAATTTTAAAACTAAACTATTTGAGAACTTAGCCGGCTTACAGTCGATTTTAAGCCGCCGATGTTTTTAGTGTCAGCCGCCGCTGCCTTTATTATTTTTCGGCGCAGGGCTCTGTACCTGGCTCACATTGTAGTTCTTAACGTATTGTGATATAGTTACGAGATGTTAAACTGTTGGATAAGATTGAACAATTTGTAAGTTTGATAAACTTAAATTATGAATATTAAAAACTCGTAACTTTCGAAATAGCTACATTTTTACCATTATTAATTTTTGATATACTTGCAAATTTTACAGGCCAACATGCAGCACAATAAGATTGATGTCTGCATATCCAAAACATTTTATTGACCCAATTTATAGTAAAAATCAACAAAATGAAAGCAAAATAGCTGACGAATATAATAAATTGATTCATATTCCAACCAAGGCAACCAAAAACGACGAATCCTCATCGATTTATTATAACGAAATTGTAAAAAAGATGGTTAACTACATTACCAAAAAGGGCAACAAAAAACTTGCAAGAACTATTCTTGAAAATAGTTTTGAATGCATGAAGCGTACACAGATTGAACGCATTCATTTAGGAAAGCATCAAGGATGTACAACAATTGATCCGTATTCTTTAATTATTCAAGCTATTGAAAATAGTCGCCCTCTTATGCAATTGATGGCAATTAAAAGGGGCGGTGTGACCTATTCTGTTCCTGTACCTCTTGCGGAAAAGAGGTCATATTTTTTAGCCATGAAGTGGATTTTGGATGCTGCTAAAGAAAAGGAAAGAAATATACATTTACCGGAAAAGTTAGCTTGGGAAGTTTTAGATGCTGCGTACGGACAGGGAAGAGTTATTAAAAGGAAAAATGATTTACATAAACAATGTGAAAGTAATAGAGCTTATGCACATTACAGATGGAGTTAATATGTTAAAATATTCTTTAATAAAGCTGTGAAAGGACAGAACATCAGGCCTATTCTGAATAATAAACTCCCGGGAAGTCTGTTCCCTCTCCTACACATAAGGCATGAAATAGATAATAAACTCCCTGGGAAATATTGTTCATAAATGGCCTGCATATGTATTGTATCTTTTTATTATAATTATACCCAAGTTAGTTGATTTGACTACTATCCTTTAAAAACTGATTCTAAAAAAACCGGGATTCCATCTAATAACTCAAAGAAAAAAAGTTGGTGTCGGGTAAACGCAACAAATATAAATTATACGGCTCATTTTTTTTTTTTGACATAAGAATCGAATTTCAGTTTACTTTTCCTTATGCTTTACTTTTGTAAAGTGTGCTCGCGTAAATTGAGCTTAATTAGTTATTTTGCAAAAATCAACTGCGGCTAGTATCGTCATATGAAATCCAAAATGCCCTAAGTTACAAAAACAAAATCGACTTTTTGATTGATTATAATGCACCGTGTGTAAATACATATTCCTGCTAATTTGTACAACACTACAATTAAAATCAACGTCCCTATCAAATAAATTATAAAAGCTTATGTTCTAAAATTACCTTAAAATTCATGAAAATTTTAAAATTCTTTTGAATTTTTAACTTCGAAACTGTGAAATGTTATAAGTTGTTATCAAATAAAACAGAAATGGCACTTTTACCGAATCTTTTAGATTATTTTAAAAGTTTTATAAATTTTTCAAAGAAAAATTTCCGAAAATCTTTATGAAAATAAAGAAGCTATATGCTTTCCATGTTTCGGACCATTTGACCAACAAAAACCGTTTTGAATTTAGTTGATAATGCTTACTATTTTTTAATGTAACTTACGCCCTTTTGGGGTTCAGAAAAAACAAATCCTCAAGGGCATAAGTTTCATATCTCCGTAAGTAAAACAAAAACCGCAAATTTTTCTTCAAATAATAATTTGTCAGCAAGAAATAAGCTTAACTTGAGATAATGTTGAACATTTTTGGTTTATTTATCATTTTACATGGTTTTTTGCTTATCCTGAAAGCCACGCCCACATACAAACTTAGTATTACAAGTCACATATCTCAGAAAGTACAACAGTTAGAGTCTTCAAGTTTTGTATGGACATACTTGACATCCATGATTATTTTCGGACAAAATGGGCGGAATAGCTATAGTGGGCGTGGCACCTTCCATATGAATAAAATATTAAATAAGTATATCTGAGAAAATATAACAGATAAAGTCCTCAAATTTTGTCGGAACCACTTTAGTGTCAATATGATTATTTAAGGAAAATGGAGGCGGACTAGAAGTGGGGGCGTGGTACCTCCCATATGAATTAAATACAAGAACTCGCTTATCTGGGAAATTATTAGTTACAATTTTTAAATTTTGCACGATGAACTTTAACAACCATGTTAACATTTTGGGTAATAAATTTGCCGGACTACCAATGGGGGGCGTTGCTCCTCCCATATGAATAAAATATACAAAAATTCGTTTATCTGGGAAACTAACTTTAATATTTATCTGAATATTTGGGGAAAAAGGGTGGACTTTCATTAGGGGTGGTTGGAACCTCCCATATGAATTAAATGGAAAAAAAGTCTTATGTCGGGGAAACTATTAGAGCAAAAATCCTTTGACATTAATGTCAACATTTGGGTAATAAATTGACGGACTAGCAAATTGGAAACTCCCATATGAATTACAGTACGGGCTCGATTTGTGCAACCGAAAGGAAATTGGAGTTGTTGCAATTTGCGAAATGTTGCAATGACCGACCACTAAGATCCTAAACAAAAGCATAAAATTAGTTGATGTTTAAGACCCAATCTTTAGGTGAAAGATTAACGATTAAATTAAAATTAATCCTCGTTTTCTTTGAGTACTTAGACCGGGTTTTTGAGTTGGCAATCAAATGGCAATTAATAATTAGATTAGTTAATCTAAAAATAAATAATTTTAATTTAATCGCCAATCTTTCACTTAAAGATTGGCCCTTAATTAGTTAATTTTGTTAGCATGTTTAAGCGTCTAATGGAGGTGGTTTAAACTTACGCATGAAATGCAAAAGTGTAAACAGCTGATGCAAAAAAATTAATACAATTTTTATTAATATAAACATTAAAATGTTCTATTTATTGATTAATAAAAATTATGCACACTTAAAACACATTTCTTTGTTTTAAATTTAAATTTTCATTCATTTTCATATTAAATTTACAATTGTCTTCTTCTTTTTTATAAAACATGCATTGTTTTGATAACAAACAGTTACAATTTCTGTTGTTTTCTGCAAAGTTTAATCTTGTACCAGAGAACAGAATGAAACCACAAAGTATACAGTGGTGTCACTTTTGACATTTAAAAAAGTCTAAAATCATCTTTTGTTTGATTTTGAAAATGTTTGGTGAGAAGAGATATATAAAATACAGCTAAAAAAACATTGAAATCGTTTTGTGCGAAAGAGAGGGAAATAGTTTTTTGCTCGTGACGCCTCAAATAAAAAGGTAGCCTCGTAAACACAGCTGATCATCAGCTGTTACAATCTTATCTGTCAAAATTCCTCTTTGTTTTCTTTAAAAAGTGAAGAAAATTAAGTTTTTAAATAAGTTTTCTGGGTAAATTGTGATTAAATGTCTTTGTTGTCCTCCTCCCTTGATAAAATAAGAAAATCTTTTGCTTCGGCATACGTTCCAAATCAGATTCAACAATTTTTAGCACGACCAATTTTCACAAAAAGCACGTTTTCTTCGCAAAATTTGTCTTCCCAATAGTTATAGTTATGATTTTCTGACATTCCACGTTTAATTTATTATATTAATATTAATCGTTAAAATTTAAAATATTTGCGAAAAACTCATATTTTTATTGTGTTTATTTTTTGCTTTTTCATTCTCCGCATGCAGTTTATTTTGACAGATGGAATTATTTCACAATAGGTTTTTAGGTTTAGGTTGGGAAGGGTTATACACCGTAAAAAACGGCGTATATCCACTCGGAGACCATAAGGTCCATCGTGATTCCCTTCAAGAAGTGAAGATTCAAAACAGAGAAGACAAAAACGCTACAACAACACAAGAAAGAAAGAAAATAGGTAAAGAGGATATGTGAATAGATAATAAAATACAGATACATAAATAATCATAAATAATAACGAAAATCCATGTCCTCCTATAAAGCCCAGTCAAAGAAGTGACTAATTCCCTTGATAAAACCTAGTATGTTGCGAGGGTTACGTCCCGCAATTTCCCCCAGTTCGCCGTGGAACCTATTCCCTAGCCATTTCAGCCTGAGGTTTTGTATCCTAGGACATTGCCAGATAATATGCTCGATCATCTCTACTTCCTCCTCATCTTCGCATAACCTGCAATAGTCCGGTATACTACTGTCCCACTTACTGACAAAGGTTCTAACTGAGCAGTGTCCAGTTAGAAACCCTATCAGAACCCTTAGACTGCGTCTTTCCAGTCCTATAAGTATTTTGGTAGCACCCATATCAAGTTTTGGCCACAGGGCCTTTGATATCTTGCAATCCAATCTACTATTCCAGGACTGGTTAATGATGTCTCGTATTCTTTCGAATATCATCCTATTATAGTGACAAATGGGTGGTTTTACCATCCTTTCCCTGTCATCTATATCAAGGTTCGAACCCAGTCTAGCTAGTTCGTCCGCAACCTCATTACCCTGCACATTACAGTGCCCTGGCACCCAACACAATCTAATGACAAATAGTCTTATAATGTCCCTAAGGGCATTTCTACAATCCACAACTAGGCGCGAATGTACCGTGTGACAAACCAATGCTCTAAGAGCAGCTTGGCTATCAACATAAATTGTCACAATCGACCCCGGATCGATATGATTCCTTATCAGTTCCGTCGCTAGGATATCTGCTTGGAAGACACTACATTCGTCAGGGAGTCGGAAAGACCGTTTTATGTTGATATCAGCGATATAGACACCGGCACCCGTGCCGGTATCCATCTTGGACCCGTCAGTGAAAACTGCATTTCACAATAACAATTGTTGTATTCTTATATTTGTTGTAGCGACGAGGCTACCTTATTAAGAGTACACCAGAGAACAGAATGAAACTATTCACGTTTTATGACCATTCGCAAATCCATTGCTTCTGAATTGCCTTTACTCAACAATAATACAAATGTGCATTGCATTTATTACAATGTCTTTTTATATGACTTCATACGTCAAGCAACGAAATAATTCAATGCCACATGAAAAAACTAAAAACATTCACACCATTCGTCCAGTATTCGTTGCAGAGTAGGAAAGCAAACGAAATCTTTTGTTTGTACAATATTAATACTTATGTACATGAGCAAAACTAAAACAAATACTTTTGAAGTAAGAAAACAAAAGCAGAAAAGTATTTAATGAAAAATTCATTTAGTGTGTTTGATTTCAATTAATTTTTTATTGTTTTGCTACTACTTAAAGGTACTTTACATTATGTTATTTTGTATTAATTCAAAGTATTATTTGAATATGTATTGTAGTCTGAAAAACTAAAACATTTTGTACGTTGAAATATAGTAAGTTTTTAAAAAATTTTTAAATAAATTTCTTTACAAAATATACAATTTATTTATAGTTTTCTTTTGGATTTTAATTTGTAATTAATTTTCTTTTATTTTACATCATAATATTCGTTATAATTCATTTGAAATTGAAAATAAACTAAAAAAATAGGTTTCATAATACATGAAAATTGTTCAATACAGTTTGGCAACAAATTCGATTTTGTATTAAAGATAACGAAACTCTGATATTATTACAAAGTATTGTAATTTGACCCCCCCTTTAGAGTTTGTAAAAAAACAACTTTTTGGAGAAACCGGTTTGTCGGTTAACCGAGTATGTAAAACCGTTAAACATATTAAATCAACTCATTCATACGATCCAATTGTGTTATTTTGTTAAGATTATACAAAATAAAACATTAAACTTATTGCTAATATATTGCAAAAGTTTAGAAACACGTCTTGCTAAAGTAATCGAGCATTTTTAAAACATCGTTACTTACTTGGAACACTGTCATCTCGTACCGATGCCTCGCTGCCGCTGTCGTTGCCGAAACTGTAGAAGCAATCACCAGGAAAGTAATACGGATTCAGGGCTGTCTGATACCGAGGTAACGTGCAAC